CGTCCCCGCGTTTTTGCAGGCTGCCCGTCTTTGTCTTGACTCGCATCGCCCCCCGCCCCCCCGGGCCGGGCTCCCCGTGTCCGGTTTTTATTGAAACCCGGCAGGCTCTGCAAGGGGAAACGGCTCACATCCACGTTAATTTAAATGGTTAAAATACGGGTCTGCCCTAAAGGGCAGAGGGTGTTTGACAACTTCTGCCTTTTCCCCCCGTGTAGTCCTCCTCCAGTCCCCAGAACTCGAAATTGTAAAACTAAAAAAAAAAAAAGAAAATAACGTCTCTCAGCAAGTAATCTGTTCCAGATTTTAGTAGGCAAAGTATGATTCATACTGATATCGATACGGCCGGGAGGAGGGGGGAGGATGGCGGCAGTTTCTGTGTAAAAAAAAAAAAAAGGCAAAACGCTTCAAGGCTTGTCGGTACCAGGGTGCCTCAGCGCGAAATCTGCTGCCCCGAAACCTTTAGCCCCAGCTGAGGCAAGACTGGCCCTAACTATAACTTCAGTGGGTGTTTCATCTAAGGCCGAGCGGCGGCATCTGGGCCCTCGCCCCCGCGCAGGCGGGCAAGGGGGCCCCTGCCCCAGCACCGCCGACTCTTCCTCCTGCCCTGCGCTCCGGCTCGGCCCGGAGAAAAGGAGCCCCTGCCTTGGGCAGCACAACGCCGGCCCGAGCGGCCATCGCACTGGAAACTTCAAACAAACGATCCACTTCCTCCTCTGTTTGCTTTAGAGTCGCGGGACCTGGACTTTGAGCTGGCGGCTGATCTTTTTCCCCTCCTTCGGTCTTCAAGAACAGCCAAAATAACCAACCAAGAGAAACGCCCACAGGCTCCGGCTATTCCAGATTTCGGGTTTTTTTTATATTATTATTATTTACTTAAGGAGAGCAATCAGGTTCCTCGAATTTCCTTCTCTTTCTAGTTTCTTTTTTTTTTTTTTTCTCCCCTTGCCTTGGCCAGAAGTGAGGAGTAAGCAGGGGAGAGACCAGCCTATTATTTTCTGCAGTTGTTTACTCATTCTGTAGATGGTGCTTGTTCCCAGGGCTCTGAGCCTCTCTATAATTAAACCCATTTTAATTGTTAGGTTAGAAACGTCATTTCGGGGACTTTCCAAGAGTTACCGAGAAAGCTGGCCGAGATAACTATTTCACTACTGAGTCGCTCCCAGCCCCGTTTTCGCCCCAGTTCCTCCCTGTTGGCCGGCCGTGGCGTGAAGCTGAGCGGGGGGCTCGGAGCGGGAGAGTGGGGAGCCCGGGGCCAGCAGCCCCACCGCCCGTGCGGCCGCCTACCCCCGCCGCTTTTTGCATTATTCGCTTGCCCCGTGTGCGCTTGTTTTGGAAACTTGGGGTTTAAGGTTGCGCATTTCCACAGATCGAGCGGTGAAGGCTGAAGCCGAGAAGGGATTTTTTTTTCCAGTGATTTAGCTTGGCAAACCCTGACTCCATGGTGGTCTGCTTTGCATTGGCTGCGCACATGCTCAGATCAGGAATTTAGCTGCTCACCCCACCTCGTGGCTAAAAGTCAGAGCCCTCCGGGCCCGAGTGGGAATTTGTGTGGGCATGAATTCGCACCGAGCGGAGGAATGAAAAAGTCAGCCTTGCACCTCCTGCCAGAGCCGTGCCAGAACTTTGATAGATGCAAATGAATAAAGATAGGTAAATGAATAAATGAAAGTCAATTATTAAAGAAGATTACTGAAAAAGTGAATGAATGCAGTGCCATGCTCACTAGCCTTCTCATGTAGGTCAATCCATACAGGCCCAGCACATTCCAGTTGGGATACCACAGCTGGGCCTGGGAAGCTGGAATAAATGTCCAGGACTTCCTGAGCCCTTCCCAAATCTGTCCTCAGCACAGGGGCAGCTTCTGGAGCATTCTCGTTCCCTGGTTCCGATGCAAGCAGATGCTAACCGTGTCTCAAAATACAGAGGGATAAGATTCTTCATCAGACCTGTGCACATATTTAACAGAGGAATTAAGAACCACTTTCCCGAATGAGAGCTGAAACGGGCCAGAATGGCCAGAAAACAAGCAGGGAAGAAGCAGGGGCCAGCGAATGAAATGATAAAGGCAGGAGATTTAAAGGAGTACTTTTTCCCATCATGTGTGTGTATAAAACTGTGGGCTCGTTGGCACATGATGCTGTAGAGGTCAAAAGTATAAACGGGGTCAAAAAAGCAATTTGACAAATTTATGGAGGAAAAGTCCCTGGAGCTTTACTAAAGGCAAAGGCAGACCTCCGCGGCATGTTGCTGGACAATGCACAGCAAAAGCCTCACTCTCTCATTCCCCCGTTTATCCCCCTAAGCCCTGTCTGCTCTTGGAGGTAAGAGGAAGGCCACAACAGACCTTTGATCTGACCCAGTTCGGTTATTTTTACACAGTTAGGGTCTACTTTTATGCTTTATACTCTGTCTAACCCCAATGGGCTTGGAGGTGCACTTCACAAACTTGGGATTAGCTGCGCAACGTCAGATTGTTTGGGCCAGGCAGGAGGAGGACAGCACTGGGAAGTGCAAGTCAGCACTATCTTGTCCCCGGACTGCTGGGCAGGGTTTCACGTGCTGGCCTCTGCTAAAGGCTGGAGGACAGTCTCGCGGGGTGGCTGCACTCCTTGCCCGCTTTAACTCCCTGTCGGGGTAATAAGAGGTTACTCTGAGCACTGAGTATAAACTGAATCCAAGCGCCAGCTTTGCCACAAATATATTTGGTGATGTTACAGCTCCCATAGCAACAGAAGAAGATTGCTATCTTAAGACACCTCCACTTATCTTCACCTGGAGCCGTTCGGCAATAGCAAGCCTGCAGGTCTGCTTGCGTCAGTGAGAGTTACTAAACAAGAACACGAGTGCAAAAAAGCCTGAATTGTTGAAAACAAGGTGGGGGGTGGGGGTGGTTTGGTTTGTTCCCCCTCCTACCACGCAGTTCCCAAAGTTTCAAGCTAGGAAAGGGAACTGCTTTCATCACGAGCAAGGTTTTCCCCTGTGAGTTTCAGAGGAGTTAGGTATTTCGCTGCCCCACTCCCATGGGAATCTTCAGGTAAATAGACATGTCTTTTCTGCAGCGGTGCTCCGATGTACAGAGGCTGGGGACGGAGGAAGGACAAACCTCCTGCCTTTATTTCTGCTGGGGATGTAAAATGAGTCAAAGCTTTCTGCAGTCGCTATTCTTTTCATATCTTTTGGGTCCGGTGCTATTTTTGTTGGCTGTGCCCCTGGAGGTGGAGGTGTGGAAGTGCCTTTCTGCTGGTCTCCGCAAGCGGGTGTAGATGTTTCCTCTGTTCCAGGCACCTCCTCAGACGCTGTGGCCTTCCAGGGGGAGTAGGCGGATGCCAGTGTGGCTGTTCCCTGCCCATCCCTAACTTTTTAATCCTTCCTTTTATTTTGGCCTTGCGCTCCTTCCACGGAACACCTCTGGGTAGCCACTGGGAGGTGTGAATGGCTCGGGATGGAAACCACAGCTTGTAGGTGCGCCCTCTGCCAGGCTCCTCTGGCACCCGAGGAAGCCTGGCCTCCTCCT